GAGCTGGAGGTGCTAGTTCAGGGGGTGCTGGAGTTGGAGGTCCTGGCACTGGAGGTGCTAGTTCTGGGGGTGCTGGAGCTGGAGATGCTGGCACAGGAGGTGCTGGTTCTGGGGGTGCTGGTCCTGGAGGTGCTGGTTCTGGGGGTGCTGGTGCTGGAGGCGCTGGCACTGGAGGTGCTGGTTCTGAGGAGACTGGAGCTGGAGACACTGGTTCTGCGGAGTCCACTCCGCCTCCCCACCACCACGACACACGTCTCCAGGCGGCCCGTCGGCGTGAGCGTGAGGAGCAGGTGCTGTTGGAGAGGGAGCGGCAGGAGTTGCGGCAGTTGGACCTGCTGGAGCAGCAGCAGTAGCAGCAGCAGCAGCAGCAGCAGCCGCAGCAGCAGCAGCAGCCGCAGCAGCAGCAGACACCGCCGCCGCAGCTGCGACCACAGCAGCTCCCTCTGGAGCGGCAGTTGTTCCCACCCGTGAGTGGCCTTCGGGCCCTTGGTCTTCCCTCCTCTCCTCCTGTTCACACTCCGTCCCCTCCAGCGTTTGGTCCCACGTTTCCTCCTCCTGACTCCAGTCCGGCGGTCTGGTCTTCTCCTCCACCGCAGTCTCCTCCACCTGGTGTCCCGCACTCTCGTGTCCGTCCCTGTCCTCCGCGTGCTCGTCACTCGTCTCCCGTTACCGACCTCCGCACTGCCCTCCTTTGTTCGTCTCTTCGTCGTCCTCCTCCTGAGTCCGTTCTCACGTCTCCGCCTCCGTCCTCTCTCCCTTTCCCCCCTACTCCTGTCACTGACTACTACCGCGCTGTTCGTCCGGTTGTCTCTCGTGTCCTCGCCACTCTTGTCACCGACTCTCGTTTCCCTCCGTCGTCTGTCTCGGCTCTCACTGCCGCTGTCGCTGAGTTTGCTGCCGCCAGTCGCCTTGACTACACCACCCGTGTGGTGCCAGCTCCTCCCTCCCGTCCTCTGTCCGTCGGGGGTGGGTTTGCCCTTGGCTGTGACGTCCTAGAGGACAGAGAGTCTGAGCTGGAGTACTGGGCAGCTGCTTCTCCCTCTGTCTGTGCCATGCTGTTATCCCCTGAGGGAGACCCCGACGCCCTTGACATACCGACTCCTCGCACTTACCGCGAGGCAGTGTCAAGGGCGTGGGCCTCACAGTGGAAAGCGGCTATGGCCTCGGAGTTAGCGTCTTGGAAATCCACAGGCACCTACGTCGACGCAGTTCCCCCTCCCAGGGCGAACGTAGTCGATGGCATGTGGCTCTTCAAGGTGAAGCGACCGCCTGGTTCACCGCCTGTGTTCAAGGCGCGCTACGTGGCTAGGGGTTTCAGTCAGCGTGAGGGAGTTGACTTCTTCCAGGCCTTCGCCCCGACCCCGAAGATGACTACTCTTCGGGTGTTACTGCACGTAGCAGCACAGCGAGACTACGAGCTGCACTCCCTTGACTTCTCTACTGCGTTTCTCCAGGGCCGACTGCACGAGGAGATCTGGCTGCGCCGCCCTCCTGGCTTCACTGACACCTTCCCACCCGGGACCCAGTGGAGCCTGAGACGGCCAGTCTACGGTCTCCGCCAGTCGCCCCGTGAGTGGCACGACACTCTTCGCTCCACGCTTCGTGATCTTGGGTTTTGTCCTTCCTCTGCCGACCCGTCGCTGTTTGTTCGCACTGGTTCCACTCCTTTCTTTATACTAGTGTACGTCGACGACTTGGTCTTTGCCACAGCAGACAGGGCAGCTCTGGCTCAGGTGAAGTCCGAACTGCAGAAGAGACACACGTGCACTGACCTAGGTGAACTGCAGCGCTACCTTGGCCTGCAGATCACCAGGGACAGAGCCGCTCGCACCATCACACTGACTCAGTCACACATGGTGCAGCAGGTCCTTCGGCGGTTCGACTTCCAGTTCTCCACCACACAGCCCACACCTCTTGCTGTTGACCACAGACTCACTGGCCCCTTTCCCGACGAGCCTTTTGAGTCCAGTGGTCCCTACGCAGAGCTGGTGGGCTGCCTCATGTACCTGATGACTTGTACTCGGCCGGACCTCGCCGTCCCCCTCAGCATACTTTCTCGCTTTGTTGCGACTGGGAGACACCGTCCTGTCCACTGGACAGCTGCTGTGAGGGTGGCGAAGTACTTGGCGACGACTGTGCTTGGAGGGACTCAGCCAGTGGCGTTGACTGGTCACTGCGACTCTTCCTACGCTGACGACGTGGAGACTCAGCGCTCGACTCAGGGTTACTGCTTCAGTCTGGGTGCTGGTGCTGTGTCGTGGAGGTCTACACGGTCGTCGTCTGTGGCTACTTCCAGTGCAGAGGCAGAGATCTATGCTGGTGCCATGGCGGCACAGGAGCTTCGCTGGTTGACCTTCTTGCTCACCGACCTTGGTGAGCGGCCTCGCTCTGCACCGACCTTGTACGCTGACAACAAGGCCATGATCCTCCTCTGTCGAGAGCCTCGACTGGAGAGCAGAGTGAAGCATATTGACGTGAGGTACTTCCTTCTGCGAGAGCTGCAGCGACGCGGCCAGGCACGCCTGGACTTTGTGGCCTCAGAGGCCAACACTGCAGACGTCTTCACCAAGGCCCTGGCGCTTGGTGACCACCACAGGTTCTGTGTGCAGATGGGGCTTGTTGAGGTAGGCCCTCGGTTGCTGTAGACTTGCTGTTTGCTCTGCTTGTTGTGCTTTGCTATATATATCCTAGTGAACTCTTGAACTGGCCTTGTGGCCGCTTGCTTGTGCTCGGAATTTGTGTGGCGTCCTTGAGATCCACCCTGAGCTTGCTTTGCTTCTTGCATTGACTGGTCTTGTGACCGTTTGTTCACCTTGCTTGCTTTGATGCCCCTCACTTAGCCTATGGGGGTGTGTCAAATGTTATTATAAGTTCTTAGGCTACAGTGAGTAGCACTCTAGGGAGTACAACACTTTTAGGGTGCTATTTGTATCCCTTGTTTCCCTAGTTCATACATTCCGTTGTTCGCTAACTTTGAGAACGTGGTAGTGGATAGGAGCGCTGCATCCTCTGAGACCGGCGTGCTCGCCGTGATGGATTCCTAGTTCAAGCTATTAGATCTGAAAAGGCGGCTGTGGTAGATACTCACTCAATAGTTTCGTGATATGGCCCGACTTTGCTATCTTTGTTGGATGCTAGTTTGGTAGTATCCTGTCGCACGACGGGGTTCAGTCCCCCGGGGCCTGAGTACTGGGGCGCTACATCGGTAGTACGAGCTATGGCGTAAGGTGGTTGCGCCTCGTAGTCCTTCGCCATAAATCTTTCATGTCACACAGTTCCTAGGTCATTCGCATCTCAGCGTACAATGGACCAGCCACCATGATCTTCCCGCCAATCTCTGACATGCCTCGATCCTGGATCCAGGGAACACCATGACTGGTGGAATCACGAAATCAGGGCTGAGTCACTGATATTCGAAAAAGACGCCAGGAAGCTGTGGGACTTGCGGCTGAAGGATCTGTTCATGAGTGATGAAGCTGGGGAGCTGTCGCAGAAATCCGTGGCGGATTTAACGGTTCATCTGGGCAGCAGTGGCCCCGCGAAGTTGGCGCTAAAGGCGGTGGGGGCTCTCCCTGCGAGATGGTACAGAGAGCTAGGGTTTCCGACTGTGCTCCCTCGCTCGGGTGACTCTACCCTGAAGCTGAACATCCTGGAGGATGGGCGCATTATCCCCATGAAGCGGATGAGAGAGGGGTGGAAGGAGGCCCAGAAGGAGTCATACAAGCGCGCAAAGTGGGCGACAAGATGGGGAGGAATTATCAACTGGAAAAAGGTTGTGAGCACGCGGGACTCTTTGGCAGTTCCCAGCCGTCCACGTGACGTGCTCACTCGGATCCACAGTCTGAATCTGCAGGTGGGAGAGCGCCTGGCTTTTCTCAGCAGTAACCCGGTCTGTCCGTACTGCGGGGAGCCTGAGACACTGGAGCACTGCTTGGTTCTCTGCCCCAGGGTTCAAGTGGTTTCCACAGCTCTTCGGCGCGCTCTGGGCATGCTGAATCCTGGCCGCATGACGGACTCGCTGGGTGATCTCCTGTTCCGGGATACAGGCACCAGCTCAGCTTTTCCGGAGCTGACGTTAACATCAATTGCACTGCACCAGCTGTGGCTTGAGCGATGCGAAGCTGTCTTCAGGGGGCAGAAATTCCGGACTCAACGGGTCTTACGTCGGATTGAGGTGGCCTTCCGGCAGCATGTGAAATTGTACATCCACAAGTTCGGGCCGACGTGGCGCAAACAGAGGCAGCAAGGTTCATCGGGGGAATGGAACATGCTTGAGAAAATCAAAATGGACGGCAGGAGTCTGAAGTGGACAAACAACTTTGCAGCAATTTGGTCGGCGAGGAGGGTCAGGAACGTCAGGCCCTAGGAATCTTATCTGGAGCAAGAGGTCCCCTCTAGTTCCTCACGCACGGTTACGACCGTTCTTGTTAGTATATGCTTGCTCTTCGGTGTATACTCTCAATTATAAAAAAAAAAAAAAAAAAAAAAAAAACTGATATTCGCAACCAACAACACGAAGGAAGAATGGTTACATGGGTACACCAGTCTTCGCACAGCTGAAGTTACATCTGACCGAAATGCCATTTTGTAGTTACAAGAGGCGAATCTGGTAACGGAAGTCGATCATCTCGCATGCACACATTCCCTTAGCACCGCCACACAACCCACCGACCATAATAATTCGCCCGTTTTCTCATGATGCTCATTTTCCAGGGCACGCTCTCGGTTTCCTTCGAAGCAGTCCTGATAAACATCCTCTTTCACTCACACTTGGTTCTAGGATCTTTGGTAGCGCCACTCGGTCCATTCCCCTCTCGCTGAACTTCCGCGACGTCGAGCTTGCAGCTTTGGGTCAGATCAAAGCTCGCCGCGCACGATTCCCGGGTCTAACTTGAGTCCCTTGCGCTGTGAATCGCGCGAGTCCCAGGTGTTTCTCCCAGCTCCGGTGGCAGAGAGGCAGTGCGATCAATTGTAGAGTGCGAATCTGCACGATTCACACGATGGCATCCGCCACGTCAGCGCTCCACCTCTCCCCCGTCGCCACCTCTGCGCATCAACGTCCCTCCCCCTCTTCCTCCCTCCCCGCCCCCGCATCCCGCGTCTCCGCCGTCTCCCTCTGCTCCCGCCCAGTCCTTCCCTCCCGCTTCCGCCGCAGCAGCCGTCTGCCAGTAGCGATTGGGACTGTATCAAAGGCGTCTCATGGCACTCGAAGATTCCGGTGCGAGGTTGCGAGCAGCGGCGACGCGACGTCGCCCTCCTCCTCGTCGTCGCCGCCAGAACCGGCGGCCACAGCAACCCCAGCAGCAGCGGCGGGTGGAGCGAAGAGCCACGCGTTCATCCACGACTTCTGCTTCGGCATCACATTCGGTGAGCGCCGCTTGCCGCCTCAGCAACCCCAGCTGTCTCGGCGGGCCAGCTGCGAGTCTCAAGTGTGGCAGCCATCACACGCACACTTGGCAACTGCTCAAGTGCGGTGGGCACACACACTCAGGCGCCAGCAGCAGCCTCGCTCGGCGTCATTTTCTTCCAAATGTTGGGTCCACACTTCACCCCTCCTCTCACCCCTCTCCAGCCCGTCTGGCCTCTACATCAATTCGGGACGTTGTTGAGAAGTCTCTGTTGTCGTACGGCGGAAATTCATCAGTGCGCATGTTGTGTCTGCCCAATCGCAGCAGTGCGAGTTTGGTCGCCACCCTTCTCCCTTTTTCCCACTCTCCCCTTCTCCCCCTCTCCTCTTTTCCCGTTCTCCGGTTCTCATTCTCCCGCCTTCTTTCCCTCTCCCCTTCTCCCCCTACCACAGGAGCGGCAGCAGCAGTGGCGGGCGTGGCATGGTTCCTGCTCACCAAGAGCACGGACGCCCTGCGCGTGACAGCGCTGTTCGGCGCCACCATTGCGCTGGGCGGAGTGGGCAGCCTGAGGGCGTGGCGCAAGGGGCAGTCCAGCACACCGTACATCCTCGGCCAAGCAGGTAAGTGCAAGGGGATGCCCACCCGTACACATGCACGTGAATGCACATGCACGTGAATACACATGCCCACCCGTACACATGCACGTGAATGCACATGCACGTGAATACACATGCACGTGAATACCCATGCACGTGAATACCCAACCATTCCCATCCGTACTCATGCATGTATACGCCCACGCCTGCGCATATACGCCCACGCATACACATTGCATCGCACGTGTATGCCCACCACACACAAACACCCTTACGACCACACTCTCCCATCCTCTCCCCTACTCACCCCCACCTCTCTCCCGCCTTCAACCCTCAGCCTACCACATAACCCACCCATCTCCACACATTGTCACCTCATCTGCACCTTCCCTTCCCCCCGTCTCCCATCCACACCACCCCCATGCAGTGCTCGCTGCTGTCCTGGAATACCAGGCATTCGTGCGCCTGCAAGTGGTAAGGCCTCCAATGACCTCTCGAACAGCCCTTCAAACTTCAAGCAACCCTTCAAGCCGCCCCTCAAACAGCCCTCAGACAGCTCTGATTTTCCATGTGTGCACATTCTTGTGTGTCTTTCTGATCATGTGTGCTTGCGTGCGCGTGTTGCTTTGCAGACGGGTGCTATTTTCCCGTTGGGTCTTGGCATGGCGGTCAGGTGAGCAAAAGATCAGCGTACATCCTTGAAACGCCACTTTTTGTCCTATTCCTTCTGAGACGTCTCAAAAGTTGCACATGCCTGCTCTCCTAATCTCATAGCTTTTCCTGTCGCATCTCATCCCTTCACACTGCCATCCGACTTCCACATCCCCATGTTCCTGATGGGGAGTCTTTCTCCCTGTAGGAAGCAAGTGCTAGTGCGTGCATGCTACCAGGGATCGTGACAGTGTCAAAGGAAGCTCACTTAAACGCACGCCCCTGCTTTCTCCTCCCTCCCCTTCCCCTCCCGTCCTCCTGTTCCCCTCCCCTCCCCAACCTCCCCCCCCCCCCCCCCCCCCCCCGTTTTCCCCCATGTTTCCTTGTGTCGCCCACAGTGCTGCCATGGTGCTGTTCTATATTTACGTGATTTTGGCGGGTGGCAATCCTCCCCCCAAGAAGAAGGCAGCAACTGCTGCTGCTTAGGGATCGTGACTTTGAGGGGGCGGCACTAGCCCCCGTTCATATGCTCCTCCAACCATGTAGAGCCTCTTCCTCCCCGCGATATTTGGGTTACCGCTCCTCGAAGCGTTACAGTTGGAGTTTGGAGATGTTGCACTCGGGAGACATCCCAAATAGGTTTGATGTCATAGCAAGTGGTGACACCACTGTATACATCCGTGCACTCTGCATGCTCGTAGTGGAGGTACAAGATTATCACAGTGAAATATAAGATAATAACTAAAACTGGCGGGCCTGGTTGTGCAATAGTGGAAGTCAAGTTCAATTCATTGCATGCAGGCGAGGTGAATTTTCATTTTTAGATTGTGTGGATAAACAAGGTAAGTGTTTCAGTATGAAAAAGGCAGGTGCTCGGTTTAACTGGAAACCTCGTTTTACAAGTTACCCTAGTCGCGTCACGCGAGAGTTTCTCGAGCACCTTCGTTGATTTCGTCGACGTACGGGCGGACAACCGACGAAACGGAGGAACAGTTTGAACTCAGCCCACACCCACAGCAACAAACCAATCCGCCCACCACCAGCACCAACTCCCTCGCTTCCACCCCACCACACGCTTCCACGCCTGTTGTGCCGTTTTCATAACGCGTTTGCTAGCTTCCCGTCTCAGATAGGCCGTTGCAAGGCTTCTACCTCCACCACGTATTCCCCCTACCAAAGTCTTTATCATGTCGGAGCGTAGTCCACACGTCAGATTCCCTAAGCGTGCCTCCCGACTGAGTCTGCGCGCAGTCATTGGCCATGGCGGCTCGAGCAAGTCGCAAACCGCACTCGTGTCCGAGTGCCACTGGAAGTCCGACCTTCCATGTCTCCGACCCGGACAGTGCAAGGCTTCTTTTGAGACGCTCAAAAGTCGGACCCGGAGAGTGCAAGGCCTATAAAGTAGGCGCTTAACCTTTCCACAATCATCACAGCTTCCGTATTTGCTTCCCCATTCTCCCTTTAATTGCGCATACCGACCGCGGCGCTGCTCGCTGCATCAATTCTCGACTGTTTCTTCGCTCTGAAACCATCGCATCCGCGTGCAAGCTCGGGTTTTCATTGCTGCTACTTTTCCTCCAAGGCTCTCACTGAGATCTGAAGGAGATCAAAGAACAACCAGTTCCCCATGGCTGCTACTAGTACCAATGCGGGGCTCCGCGGAGCGCGCAATCTGCTTCTCCTTCCGCTCGCCTTCCTGCTGCTCCTCGCCGCCAGCGCCGCGCAGTCCGTCCTTCACGCATCCCCCTCCGCCACCGGCTCACCACGCAACATCCCCCGCCGTGCGCTCGCCGGCATGGATTCCGCCATATCCCCGCACAGGGTGGAGCGGAAGCTGTTCAGCTGGGACGGAGTGACCGTCGATCAGATCATTGCTGGCAGCCTGGGCACGATCGACGGTCCAGAGGACGACGAGGTGACGACGAAGATCGTGGAGATATTCATGAACGCGGGGTACAACGTGATGGTCATTCAGAGCGACCACTCCGTGCAGGGCGACCCGGCGTCCGCGCAGGTGGAGGTGTGGCACTTCTGGGATAACTCCGAGTTCAAGGTGTTTTACAAGCAGGGCCCCTTCTCTGTGGAGAATCTTGGCAATGGCGGGTACGAGAACTGGGCGTTCGGAGGGAACTGGGTGCGCTACGGCGCGGATGAGAAGGTCGTCGTGTTCTCCTGATTTACCGGTGTTCTAGAGAGCCTTGGCGTTCGTTGGTATGAGGTCACCTCATCATAACAAAAACATGGTGTTGATGTTGTCACTGCTTGTTGTGGAATCTGCAATATTGTAGTCACTTTTTTGGGAGCCTGAGACAATGCTGATCCGCAGAATTCACTGATCCTCTGCAATTTTACCTGCACCTTCAGAACATGAAGTTGAAACTAGTGATCCAGATGTGCTTCAATGTGTATTTATGCATAGGATCAGCTACATACAGAGTGAGCCTAGGCTGGATGTGACATGTGGTTTGGCATTCTGACGTGACAGCATTTGCTGGATCTGCGCGTCACAAACGACTGTGACGCGTACTTTTGGGACATGTCACGTCCCGGATGTACCCCAAGGTCACAACATAAATGTGCTTGACTAGCCATGGTCAACGCACCATAAAACTGTTCGCTACAACTATAGGTAGCTTTGAAGGTTGGAAATGCTTAGGGCGAGGCCGACACGTAGTTATTTTGAGCATTCTGATGTGTACGACCTGCATGTCAAATATAATAGTTATAGGCTGTAGTGAGTTGCATTCTAGAGGGTACAGATGCTAGGGTTTCCTATTTGTATCCAACACTTTGCTAGTTCATACATTCCGTTGTGTTTAGATTCTGAGATGGTATCAGAGTAGGTTCCGTTCCTAGCTCCCCGCCCTACCCTCGCCTAGCCTAGCGCCTTCGCGCCTTAGCGCCCTCCGCGCCCTCCGCGCCCTCCGCGCCCTTTGCGCCGTAGCACCCTCCGCGCCCTCCGCGCCTCCGCGCCTTAGCGCCCTCCTAGCCTGGCCGCGCCCTCCGCGCCTTCGCGCCCTCCTAGCGCCCCTCCCCACGGTCGACCGCCCCTCCCCACTGTCGTGCGCGCCCTCCTCACCGTTCCGCGCCCTAGCCCGTCGCCCAGGCCCGCGCCCTAGCCCGTCGCCCAGGCCCGCGCCCTCGCCCGTCGCCCAGGCCCGCGCCCTAGCCCGTCGCCCAGGCCCGCGCCCTAGCCCGTCGCCCAGGCCCGCGCCCTAGCCCGTCATCCCAGCCCGCGCCCTAGCCCGTCGCCCCGGCCCGCGCCCTAGCCCGTCGCCCAGGCCCGCGCCCTAGCCCGTCGCCCAGGCCCGCGCCCTTTCCCGTCGCCCAGGCCCGCGCCCTAGCCCGTCGCCCTAGCTCGCGCCCTCGCCTAGGCCCGCGCCCTCGCCTTAGCCCTCGCCCCCACCTTAGCCAGCGCCCTACCAACGCCCTCGCCAACGGCCGCGCCCTAACCCACGCGCCACCTCCTCCTAACGTCCCAACCACCCCTTCTCACCTAGCCACCGCCCTGTCTCCCGGGCTAAAACCGTTCGTACTGCTACTGGCTTCTCACTCCGCGACTGGCAGCCGCTTCTCGCTCCGGTCACTAGATTTCGAACCGGGTCGCACTTAGCTCCTAGCCTCTAGCCCCTAGCCCGATTTCCTCCTCCACCGGCGCTCCTACGACTCCTAGGTTCACCTCCGCCGTTCCTAGCCTAGCGTCCAATATGGACTCCTCCCGCCGCCTTCGTTTCGATGCGGAGGGGCGACCGATCGAGTTCAGTACCTGGCAGCGCCAGGCCACGCGCTACCTCACTAGTCAGCGTCAGGACGGCGCCACCCTGTGGGCCCACGCGTCTGGTGCCCTCAAGGCGCCCCTGTCTCCCGACCCCCTCCCGACCGACCCAGAGCCGACTCCTGCGGCGCAGGCGGACTACGACCGTCGTGTCTTGGCGAGGGACGTGTGGGACTCTCGCGACGCTGCCGCCGCTCTTGCGCTGACGTAGCTCCTCCCCCCGACTGAGGCCGCCCACTTTGACCAGGTGGAGACAGCTCAGGGGGTTTGGGCTGCTGTTGTTGCACGCTATTCCACCCCTTCCTCTGCCTCCCTCAGTCGCCTCCTCATGCCGTTCGTGTTTCCCGACCTCGGCTCGTTTGCGACTGTGTCCGACCTAGTGACTCACCTCCGCTCACTTGACGCCGGTTTCCGAGCGGCCTGTACCGACGCCCAGCTTCTTGCTGCCCCCCCCCCCCCCCCATGTGGCTCACTGGGCACTAGTTAGTCACCCGCCTCCCTGACCGCCTTGCCACTGCTCGCGACGCGCTTCTCCAGAAGCACCCCACTGAGCTCACTATCGATCTCCTTGAGACCGCTCTCGGGACGATCGAGAGTAGCCTCCTCACCGTTGCCTCCGCCACTGACGCGGTGCCCCCCCGTCTCTTTGCGGGGTGTGCCGCCCCTCGCACCATCACACTGACTCAGTCACACATGGTGCAGCAGGTCCTTCGGCGGTTCGACTTCCAGTTCTCCACCACACAGCCCACACCTCTTGCTGTTGACCACAGACTCACTGGCCCCTTTCCCGACGAGCCCTTTGAGTCTAGTGGTCCCTACGCAGAGCTGGTGGGCTGCCTCATGTACCTGATGACTTGTACTCGGCCGGACCTCGCCTTTCCCCACAGCATACTTTCTCGCTTTGTTGCGACTGGGAGACACCGTCCTGTCCACTGGACAGCTGCTGTGAGGGTGGCGAAGTACCTGGCGACTACATCAGGCATGGGGCTTGTGCTTGGAGGGACTCAGCCAGTGGCGTTGAATGGTCACTACGACTCTTCCTACGCTGACGACGTGGAGACTCAGCGCTCGACTCAGGGTTACTGCTTCAGTCTGGGAGCTGGTGCTGTGTCGTGGAGGTCTACACGGTCGTCGTCTGTGGCTACTTCCAGTGCAGAGGCAGAGATCTACGCTAGTGCCATGGCGGCACAAGAGCTTCGCTGGTTGACCTTCTTGCTCGCCGACCTTGGTGAGCGGCCTCGCTCTGCACCGACCTTGTACGCCGACAACAAGGCCATGATCCTCCTCTGTCGAGAGCCTCGACTGGAGAGCAGAGTGAAGCATATTGACGTGAGGTACTTCCTCCTGCGAGAGCTGCAGCGACGCGGCCAGGCACGCCTGGACTTTGTGGCCTCAGAGGCCAACACTGCAGACGTCTTCACCAAGGCCCTGGCGCTTGGTGACCACCACAGGTTCTGTGTGCAGTTGGGGCTTGTTGAGGTAGGCCCTCTGTTGCTGTAGACTTGTTACTTGCTCTGCTTGTTGTGTTTTCCTATATATGTCATAATGAACTCTTGAACTGGCCTTGTGGCCGCTTGATTGTGCTCGGAACTTGTGTGGTGTCCTTGAGATCCACCCTGAGCTTGCCTTGCTTCTTGTCTTGACTGGTCTTGTGACCGTTTGTCTGCCTTGCTTGTTTTGATGCCCCTCACTTAGCCTATGGGGGTGTGTCAAATATAATAGTTATAGGCTGTAGTGAGTTGCATTCTAGAGGGTATAGATGCTAGGGTTTCCTATTTGTATCCAACACTTTGCTAGTTCATACATTCCGTTGTGTTTAGATTCTGAGACTGCACCACTACCGTTGTAGTTACATACACTCAACAAGCGGGGCTATGGTTGCGGGTTGTTGTGTATGTAGGATGGTGGGGAACAGTAAAGGAGCCCGGGTCACCACCGCTACCAACGGAGATACCCACACGAGAATTCATGCGTTTGTGTGCGTGCGACTAGAAGACGAGCTCCGGCACAAATCACGGCGGGTTGCTGACATCTTTAACCCAATCCTGATTTCACAGCGTTTCTTTTGGCGATGACGTTGGCCTTTTTAATTGCTTATGCGGCTCTGCTGCGGACAGCTTGCAGAATCTCGGCAAATTGTTGTGCACGTGGCGTTGAGTTGTCTGGACTCGTTGTCATGGGCACAGTTGGGTTTTGCCCGTAGTTCAGGTAGAACGGGGACTGCTGAGTCGTCACTGACGTGGCATTGTTGTATGCGAACTCGATCAGCGGCAACTGCTGCTCTGAAGTTGTCGGGCCGTCGCACGTGGCACGGATCAACTGCTCCATGGTTTGGTTTGTCCGCTCCATTTGACCGTCGGTCTCGGGGTGGTACGACGAGCTGAACTGTAGCCTGGTCCCGAACTGCTCCCAAATGTTATTGTCAAACTGTATGTTTGTGTTCTCTCTAGGCTATAGTGGGTTAGCCTACAAGGGGTACAACACTTTAGGGTTAGTACTTGTACCCAACTCATTCATAGTTCATTCATTCCTGCCTGCTTATTCTAACATTAGAGCAGAATCGTTCCTAGGGCCCACCGAACGTTCCGCCCTGCCCTAACCGTAATTTTTTTCTTCCTACGCTGCCCCTGCAGCCGCGCTGCCCTTGCAGCCCGCGCGCTGCCCCTGCGACCGCGCTGCCCCTGCAGCCGTGCTCGCCCCTGCGACCGTGCTGCCCCTGCAGCCGTGCTCGCCCCTGCGACCGTGCTGCCCCTGCAGCCGTACTCGCCCCTGCGACCGTGCTGCCCCTGCAGCCGTGCCTGCCCCTGCAGCCCGTGCGTCGCTCCTGCAGCCCGTGCGTGCTGCCCCTGCAGCCCACGCACCGCCCCTGCAGCCCGGGCGTCGCCCTGCCGAGCCGCGCGTCGCCTCTGCAGCCCGTGCGCGCGGCCCCTACAGCCCGCGCGTCGCCCCTGCAGCCCGCGCGTCGCCTCTGCAGCCCGCGCGCCGCCCCTGCAGCCAGTTCGTGCTGCCCTTGCAGCCCGCGCGCTGCTCATGCAGCTCGTGCGCCGCCCTGCTGAGCCGCGCGTCGCCCTGCCGAGCCGCGCGTCGCCCCTGCAGCCCGTACGAGCTGCCCCTGCAGCCCGCGCGTCGCCCCTGCAGCCCGCGCACCGCCCCTGCAGCCCGTGCGTGCTGCCCCTGCAGCCCGTGCGCCGCCCTGTCGAGTCGCGCCGCCCAGCCCGAGCCGCGCCGCCCAAACCCGAGCCGCCCTACTCAACCCGAGCCGCCCTGCTACAACTACTGCTACTGCTGCTGCTCGTTCTACTGCTGCTGCTGGAGGAGGTACTGCTGGGAGTGGTGGAGGTGTGGCCGCCCAGCCCCACCGAACCGCCCTGCTGCTGTTACTACTGCTGCTGCTGCTGCTG